GTATAGCTATTAAGTTACAAGATCGGAGTTCGTTATATGTTTATTAAGATGACTTGAATCAGGGACAGTATATCCATACGTCCCTGCTTGAATGCATGTTGTTGTACCATATAGCACTGGTTCAAACAGCTACACAAGTCTTTATATCTATTGTGTGCGGCATACTTGACATAGTTTTTACGCTACCAGCACGGAATAGCTTGTATATCGATCTTGGCTCAACCCCATAAACAAGTCAGACACATTCTATACATATGTGAATATATACTACAGAAATTAGACGTTCTCTGTATAATTAAACGTGCGCCAGTGGTCACCGCACGTGAACTGACCGCGTGAACACACGCAATCGATATACAGCTATGAACGTTTTCTCTAATCACACACTTGTAGTTTTGTTTTCTCGACGGTTTCCCCTACCCCCCCGGGCTTACCTTGGCCTGGGCCTCCCGAGCTAATCCCGACTTTGGGGCCCGATAGTGTGCCATAGTAAGTCCTGTTCTTTTTGCCAAACTCTGTCGGACAAGTGTGTTGACACCTCGCGTTCGGCTGCTGATTTGCATATCACGTGACGTATTTGATACGGGATATCGTGTACGTGTGTGTATACGGGAATGGAAGAGACAACATAATGTTCCAATGACACGCATATACAGCGATAAAGAATCACAGACCCAGGCAAAGGTGCACGCATGGAGACCACTGCTGGATTAGATAGACTCAATTGGGATTTTTTGAAAATCGGAACAACTTTGTAAGTATTTGTGCATAATATAGAAATTCTTAATTCTGAATGCTTAAAAAAAAAGAGAGGAAAAATACCCTCCAGAAACCCCCTCCACAGATCCGTCACAATGGAGACAGTGTTATCTTTGACCACTAGTTAAATAGCAATAATATGGATCTATTATTCCTTTAGTGACCAGCGCGTCCGGAATGTGATGGACACTGGCCGTTGTGATGGAATAACAGGAGTCACATAATCTGTGAACCGGTAGATATCCCGGAGTGGTAAATACTCCCACAAGACCCTATGTCAAAGCTGACTGAAATGTATCGTATTGTGATATCAATACCCTGTGTCAAAGCTGACTGAAATGTATCGTATTGTGATATCAAGACCCTGTGTAAAAGCTGACTGAAATGTATCATATTGTGATATCAATACCCTTTGTCAAAGCTGACTGAAATGTATCATATTGTGATATCAAGACCCTGTGTAAAAGCTGACTGAAATGTATCATATTGTGATATCAATACCCTTTGTCAAAGCTGACTGAAATGTATCATATTGTGATATCAAGACCCTGTGTCAAAGCTGACTGAAATGTATCATATTGTGATATCAATACCCTTTGTCAAAGCTGACTGAAATGTATCATATTGTGATATCAAGACCCTGTGTCAAAGCTGACTGAAATGTATCATATTGTGATATCAATACCCTTTGTCAAAGCTGACTGAAATGTATCGTATTGTGATATCAATACCCTTTGTCAAAGCTGACTGAAATGTATCATATTGTGATATCAAGACCCTGTGTCAAAGCTGACTGAAATGTATCATATTGTGATATCAAGACCCTGTGTCAAAGCTGACTGAAATGTATCATATTGTGATATCAAGACCCTGTGTCAAAGCTGACTGAAATGTATCATATTGTGATATCAAGACCCTGTGTCAAAGCTGACTGAAATGTATCATATTGTGATATCAAGACCCTGTGTCAAAGCTGACTGAAATGTATCGTATTGTGATATCAATACCCTGTGTCAAAGCTGACTGAAATGTATCGTATTGTGATATCAAGACCCTGTGTCAAAGCTGACTGAAATGTATCATATTGTGATATCAAGACCCTGTGTCAAAGCTGACTGAAATGTATCATATTGTGATATCAAGACCCTGTGTCAAAGCTGACTGAAATGTATCATATTGTGATATCAAGACCCTGTGTCAAAGCTGACTGAAATGTATCATATTGTGATATCAAGACCCTGTGTCAAAGCTGACTGAAATGTATCATATTGTGATATCAAGACCCTGTGTCAAAGCTGACTGAAATGTATCATATTGTGATATCAAGACCCTGTGTCAAAGCTGACTGAAATGTATCGTATTGTGATATCAAGACCCTGTGTCAAAGCTGACTGAAATGTATCCTATTGTGATATCAAGAACCTGTGTCAAAGCTGACTGAAATTATCCTATAATATCATGAAATGAATTAAGAAGTGCATCATACACTGAATTTTGACAATGTTTTAATGTACAAAGACACAACACGACAATTAACTATTCACTCAGCAATAAAACATGTATAAATGAAACAGTGACTTTCATTAGGCAATAAATTAATTATAAAGAAAGATCTCTGACCCCCCCCCCTTTCATGAGTTAAAAAAATAGAATTAATGAAGTGAAAATGTAGGAAATTTATGGCGAAAAATACAGGTTGGTTTTAGACTTCATTCAATATTTTATTTTGCTCATTTATTTGAATAAATCAGTTAAAATTTTCTGTATATTTTAAAGTCAAACACAAAATCTCCGTCCTATTTCTTTCATATTAAATGCAGCCTAAAATATATAGTTAAGCTGCCTCCATCTCTTAGATAAAATTCGTCAGATATTTGAAATTGACACACTAATCATCAAGCAGTGTCATTTCGTATACAAAATTGTACGTTTGATTAATTTTTTTTGAGAGAGAACCGGCAATTGTTACCAATTTCTGTCCAAAAATAAAATGACGATTTAAAATGATGTTTCATAAAATATTGAAAGTTTCTGGAACTATTAACTAATTTTCAAATCACAATTACAACAAAAAGTACAAGAACATACAACAAATACAAACAAAGCATTTCTTAATTAAGATAGAAGAGTCATTCCCCTTGGAGAAGACAGGTCGGTCCAGGCCTAAGTTAGCAACACAGGTACATATTACCTGGTAATTAGCTACGGTGTGTAAGTTTGGACCTATCTTACAAATAGGGAGTAATATAAGTTATTTTTAGAGATTTTAAAGAATAACACTCAGTAGAAATGCTAACCTTCGTTGACAAGATGCATTTTTACCTAATGGTGTTTCTAAATTATAAAACCCACAGGGACCTGAGAACTTGTTACAGCTATATTATTTTATATATGTAGTATATATAATCTTCGGTAATGCATTTTTACTGAAGGTCAATCTAACCCCCTAAAACATGTAAAATTACTCTAAATAATAATAGTCCAAATATAGCTGTAATAATTTCTCAGGTCCCTGTGCTTAAACAGGCTAATGATCAATACACCAAATGTTTCCAATTTTCAGGTCCCTGTGGTCAACATCAGTAACTCTGAATTAGGTCTGAGTTCATCTCTACAGTAATTAAGATCAGCCATGCGCGGCACTAAAACTATGCATTAAAGTCAGGATACCGTGCGCAGGCGTACATCATTTCTGATACATAACATCAACCTAGAAAATACAACAAGGGACTGAAACATGGCGTAATGTGTAGAGGGGCTGCCCGACCCCCCCCNCCGTTATCAAAATTGTGTACATGTCCTTGTTAAACCAAACAAAGGGTTATAAAAAAGATCGCATAAATTTGTTGTTTACAGAGAATGCTCTTTAGAAGTAAAGTTGAAACAGATTTTCAAAATCGTAAAAACCTGAATAGGAGAGTTTTCTAAAATAATCATTCTCAATGCAATGTGATGGATGTCAGAAAATGTTACATTTTTCGAGACTCTCTGTAACATTGTTTTTTGAGATATATCGTGTAAAAATATATCTTCTCAAGTTAAACTCAACGCCCGTTACCTATTCATTCTCCCCGCGGTCTTTGCTGGTATTTCAAACTGGCCTAACGTTACGTTAAAGGACCGGGTGAGTTGTTCATATTCAGTGACGGAGACCTTTATTGTGTAGCAACGTCTCGCGCTAACTTAAGAAACAAACACTTATCTCATGGGGAAAAATCTCGATAGTCCGCACATTTTGGTTTCCTTAATAGATTTTCAGAATAACGAGTGTTTCGCTTAAAGAAAAGGAAATGACATTTGTAAACAAACTACTTTAAAAATTGAAATTTTTACGGTGTGGAAATTTTCGCTAATGTCACGTTTACTTTAAGTCACCGCGAAAATATACGCTCGCGGAAATTAGAAGTACAAGGGTCTCGCGCCCGCATCATACATCAACTCTGAAGAAAAAGACACATTTCGACACAATCGATATATATATATACATGTATTGTTTCAGCATTGTCAAAACTAAAATGGCATCACCACTAATATCATGATAGTCGGAACGTAGAAATTTGACACCACAAAAAAACAGTAAATAAAGGTAATATCCGGAGTTTTTTCGTACGTATAAACGGTTACGACTGTTTAATTATCCTGCAAATTTGAAATTTAATGTGTGCATTGAGAAAATACAGATCACATCAAATATCTAATTGTCAATACACCGACTCACATGTTTAAAAGTCGATGTGAAACATTTTAGCGTGTCTAAACAGTTCGCCAATTACTGTAAAACCAGTTTTGCCTGTGACGTCGAGTCGAAAGTTTCACAAACTAGCCAAACCAGAAATGTGGACGATTGCGTTCACACGCGTTAGCTAGAAGCACAAACGTGTTTTTTTACGTCTCTGCTAGAACGCATCTTTACATCAACTGATATATTTAAATCATGAAACATTTAATGAACAAAGATTATTAACATCAGTAAATAACAGTTTTTAAATACATTTCAATTTATATTGAAGAGATTGACTCCAAAGAGGTGTCAGTGTGTGGTCGCTTCCGGTATAGGCTATTAACACTGAATGTCGATTGCAATCGGTTTCCAAAGGAAATTTACATGTGTGTATTGTATGTATTCTAACTGAGCACTTTTGTTTGAGAGTTCACCTGCACCGAATACATTGTTTTGTCTACTGTATCTTAACGCAAAAGCCACGACTGTCTGGGTCGTGAAAAAACGAAGTATTACCTACCTTTCTTTCCTCGTCCCTGGCTAGTCCGGACTTGGGGGCTCGGAGGGTAGCCATACTGATCATGTGAATGGCAGGTACTATACCCACGTTTGACAGATCATTCACTCGTGTCGTTCGCTGGGTAAATTTTCATCAAGTCACGCGCTCCTGACTGAGGTAATTACGACACAGGTACATGTTCACGTATAGGGGAATGCCATAAAACAGGTGTGCTTTCTGCTAAAACGAGTAAATGTAGACGACAATTGTGTGTATATATTGTTATATGTGTGTAGAAATTTCATGAGCCACATCATTTTCCTTTCGTGTATATACATTTAATTTTCTTGTTTGTACTGCAAACGATCCATTTCTTTGGAATATTTTTCCTCGAATTTATCAATAACAAAGGTATGTCGATTTAGTCTGTGTGAATTCGCTGTTGAGTCTTTCACAAAAAATCAAGTCACTTACAGTTTTCACAAATGATGTAAAGCGCATATAATTATGCTAGTTATCGTATTGTTGGCTTAGTACATATATTGTGCGATTGATGCAGCCATTTTGTTAGTTATTGGTCAAAATATACAGCTCAGTCCATCCTCGTAACTCCAGTGCAGAGAGCGAAAGTGAGCGAAAGTGAGCGCGAAAGTGAAAGAAAGTGAGCGTAAACCCTTGCAGTATCGAGGATGACCGCTCGATTACGTGTAATCATATATATATATATGCATGCCAATAACCGCGGGCGCAAACCCAGTTTCCCCAGCAGCGGATTATGCATGGAGTGATGTTTGGTTTTGTTTGGTTGTGTTTAATGTCATATTTTAAAACAATTATGGTCATTTAAGGACGCGCCATGTTTTGGTGGTGGAGGAAAACCGGAGTACTTCTACCGTTACGCGGCCGCGCGATTGTTTTGTGTACATCAAACGATCAAACTGGTTAACCTGTATTATCGAACCGTATTGTTTAAATTCCGTCTTTGCGTATTGCAGAGTTATCTTCCCCTGAGAGCAGGTATGGATTGTTACGTCATTGGTTTGTGTGAGAAAATTACGTCGTTTTCTCAAAAATTGATGACGTTACTCTCACATACAAATGGCGTAACAATCCATACCAGCTCTCAAGAGAAGATAACTCTGCAATACGCAAAGACGGAATATGGCGCGTACAGAGCCTTTGATTTCGTACATCTTTCACGGGTGCAAAAAACGCAACCACTGGAATTTCAAGAATGAGAGAAGGAATAAAAATACCTCAAATCATTTTCAACGGGTACAGCAGATGAATATTTGTTTCTTGCATGTTCTTTTGAACATCAGTCTAGGGGGCCGCGGTGGCCGAGTGCTTAAGACGTCTAACCGTCTACAATCACTATCCCTCCACCACTGGGTCGCGGGTTCGAGGCCTACGTGGGGCATGCAGTCACCAGGTACATGTACTCTCCGCAGCTCAGTGGCTTTTCTTCGTGTTCTCAGGTGTTCCGTATCGCAATATCGATGAGTATATCTTTAACCAAATTATTGTTTTTTCTGTATTATTGAAAGAGAAAGAATAGCTGTTGTTAAAGCAACACAATCAGATGTGCATTAAGGTTAAAGGCACTTAATTATGCATCGGTTATAACCGCAAAGAAGAGTTCCACTCTGACTTGACGTTTTCTCCCTTTGATACAGAAGATGAAGCATCTTCAACTTTTTCTGGTTAAGAGTTACTTCTCTTGTCAAGTTTTTCGTTGGCATTGCGACCGACAAATTGAACATTTATTTTGAAGCTACATATAAGATTCCAGATATCCTGGATGATAACATAAAAATAAAGTGTAGGCTTTGTAATGTAAAGGTCCCGAGTTATACCCCTGTTCAAACATTCAAATTTCAAAATACTTTAACTCTATAAAATGAAACGCAACATGTGATTTTTATGGAATGCTTCTTTATCTTTACAAATATTTCACAGTGGATACATGGTAGCAGTATACCTTAACTTGTAGGTACAATTTACCTAATACAACAATACTAATTAAATCGGTCGGGTGGCATGGCGCAGTGGCAAGCGCACTTGCCTTTCACCAAGAGAGCCAGGGTTCGATTCCCCGATCGGACGTGGAAAGGTATGGGGTTACCTGCCCGAACAAGTGGGTTTTCTCAGGTTGCTCCGGTTTCCTACTACAGTACGTCCCTCCGCGCGCTAACATCCGGGCCAACAAGAGTGATAAGTCAAAGTTGAAAAAACGTGTTTCATAATTGTTGTGAAATAAATAAAGTTTATATATACTAATTTACTCCGAGCTATTTCTAATTTACTGTAGGTTCTGATAAGATCGTCTGCCATGTTTTACAATTTCTCAATTCCTTCGAACTATTGAACGTAAATATATCTTGACATTAGAGCTTAGGTGTGAAAGACGTTTCGGGAGACAGCTGAAGCTCCTGAACCTGAAACAGATTCATGACTTTAAAATCAGGAAGAACGCACGTGTGAATCACGTTTGTCTTCTGTAGATACAGTCGTAGGTCATACGGTCAACATGGGGTCAAGTCAGAGTCGGCTCTCCTTGCAGCGTTGGCTTGTCCAGGGTTTCATTTTACAAGAGAAACCTGTTTCGCTTCTGTTTATATACACTCGTGGTGAAACAAAAATCCTGGTAATGAGTTCTAAACTTCTCCATCCCTCAAACATCAACTATTTTTTAATTAGAAACTCTGTTTTTTTCGTTTGATAGTGTCGAATGGTGATGAGTCTGATGACCAACTTTTATTTTTTCAACCCGTTTGCGACCTGTCTGTTTCAGAGTGAGCAGTGTCTATGACTGTTCTTTAATACCTTTGGAGAAATGATACAACACACAGTAGGAACGTCGAACTTTCCTCGTTATAAACCCAATATATGAGGGGAGGTAACTCCTACCTAATAGCTACATAACGTATATCAAAATAAAAAAACACATTCTAGCTTACATTATTGATCCTATCATTGTTTTGAAGTTTCCAATATAACCGTTCAAGAGAGAAAATAGTTATTTAAATCCCAAACCATCTACAAGTTTTCAAATTCGGAACGGAAATCGGAAAAACGGCTGAAGAACGAATTTAAAACACGTGAACGAAGCATCCTTGGCTACTGAAAAAAACATCTGTTCCATTTTTGGGACTAAAATGTGTATGAACTGTTGATGAAAGTTGTCTCATATTTGTGGTCAATTCCAACGTTCTCAAGCTCGAACAAGGGTTCTGTGCTCAACCTACTTTCTTGTCACTCGCTTAAATCATGAGACGGTACAAAAGTCAAACGGTACTCGGCTTTAAGACTCAGAAAAATTCGTCCAAATCATTGACAAATAAGATTTTAAAAAATATTGTAATACTGGAAAAAAAAATTTGGACTTGAGTACAGTATCCGAGTTTGAGTTCGTAATACGAATACGAGCCTATATTTGCTACATGTATGACTCTTTCAAGATCGGTTATCTTGTACATTACATTTACTGAGTTAAGGTGGCTCGACACATCGTCATCAGCGTCCATTTTCGTGACGTACTTCCGGAAAAAGTACAGCTCGGACTCAATTATCTTGATCGAAATGTGCATGTACACCGTGTCGTCATTTCCGTTTTGCGTATCGGGTATTCAATATCGTAGTGCAAATTATAGTAATACCTGGGCCGTTTGCGTTTAAACGGTCAAACCGATCGGACCATTGTTGTTCGTTTATTAAATAAGGTAGGACTTAGTTATCTGATGCTGCTTTCAGGTGAGCCTTGAGAAAGCCTTGCAAGTCTTACATACACATTTGTAGGTCCGCCAGGATTTATACCCGGAATTGTTACATTTATAAACGGTCAAACCGGTTGTTCCGCATAAACGAACAGGCCCCTGGTAAACAATAGTACACGTGCGTGCCGATGATATGTCAACACCCGATATCGAGATTTTACCGGGAAATGTATAATCACACGTACTTCAGGAATAAAGCTTTCCAATTCATTGACATAAACAGACTCACGGGAAGACAGTGACATGAGACCAGACGACCTCAAGAAGGTCATATAGGAAACACATGGAATGCGGACGTACCAACCTCACATGTGCATATCGCGTGTTTACACGAGTTCATAAGCTCGAGGTCGTTACGATTTTCGCTGTTGAGGGAGTTTCGCTCTGTCGATTAAATCGTGTTTACAAATGTAGTCTACTAGCTTACTCTGTGAAAATAATGTTTTGTAAAATATCAAGATACCTATGAAATGCATGTGTGAGTGCACGTGAGAACGGTATACCATGCGATAGCCTCTGGTCTGACATGTAATTATAAATATACCGTGAGTTAGCGGACTGTGGAATGATGTCCAAAGTGTACATGACTGAGGGTAATTTGGTTCCATTAAAGAACAATAAATTGATAATTTTGATATCATATTTTTGATTTATTTCCATCATTTTTGTTATATGTAAACAGAGACAACTGTCATTGTGTAAATGTCACCCCTCTGCAAAAAGTTCCGATTATTTTCAAGGAAGATAACTCTCACCCGGATCAAAGTGATTGTAAAATGTAAAATAAATTAATTATAAAGCCATTGTGTATATTTTGTTCAATTTCCCACTCTATATGTATAGAACTTTGTGTCCTGGGTGCTTTTAGCTTGTAGATAATCACTTTTATCCGTACAAATTCAATAAAAAACACTTTGTGTAACATGTATTACATATTTTGCGATAAATAAAATATTTGTAGGGTTAATTAGAAATGCTTCTATTCATTTTATTATTGTTGTTATTGTTCCGAACAATGCCACACACAAAAAAACCCGGAAAATATTAGAATTGACGAAAATTCAATTTTTTGGTATTTTTTCCAAAAAATTCCCCAAACTATCGGAATGTTTAGATTTTCATAAAATCAACTCGACATAGTTGCATAACAATTATATGAAAGTTTCAACGAATTTTGCTGGTTAATTGCGAAAGTGTGGAGCCACCTTAAGGGGGAAATACCGGTTGGAGTATATTTTCTGGATATGGGTACATGTCGAGGACTGTACATGTCACTGAGGTATACAACACACAGTAAATTAATTGCATATAATGAAAACTTTTCATTCCGACCCCTGAGTATTCCGACATCCAGTGGTTAAGCCGTCGATTTAAATGCGTATTTACTATTCAAATCGCGGTGAAGCCTCTTCAGTTCAGTTGAGGTATGGACATTCTGTATCCACGCATAGTAATCCCGTGGACCTTGTAACATTGCAGAACAGGATTTTAAATGGTTGAATGCACGAAATTCCTCATATATACTATAATCACAGGGGTTCGTTACAAATGTCTGAAATACACAATTGCTATACTAATATGGGTCGCAGCACACGTATGTTTATGTGTGCTGTGACCCATATCAGTATAGCATTTGTGTATTTCTGACATTTGTAACGAACCCCTGTGCTATAATCTTACCTCTTAAAAGGAGAAGAAAGAAGAAATGATGAACACATCGAAAGCATAGGAAACCCCTAATCAAGAAGGATGCAAGCACTACGCGAAGTTATTTGCTAAGTAAAAGATTAAACTAATTGTGAAAGTAATAAGTTATGTTGCGGTACACAAGCGCGAAGACTAAGTATTACTTGTACAGCTCGGCATTTGTTTAGAGTAAAATGCCGAACTGTGGAACATGATTTATATCGGCAATCAACATCTCCGAGATGAAAGGCTGTCAGTTTCAACACAGAGGGGTTCCTTGTCAGACAAGCGCTTAAAGTATTTGTAACAAATCTTGATCGCTGTTTTCCGAATCAAAGCAAACGTTAATGAACACATGATGATTTTGTTGATGATATCAAAACATAATCATCGCCGCGTGTGAAATGTCTGCACATAGAATTGTTAGTTTACGGATAACGTACTCAGCATCGGGTTTTCGTTTTTCTTTATTTTTGTTTTTCTCTTTTTTTTTCTTTTTTTTTTAAATTCAATTGCGACTTCTGAATAATAATATTACATAATTGATAAATAAAAATTTAAATTATATTTATTATATAAAAGAATATTCAACTGGAAATAAATATTTTTGAAAGTTAACAAGGCTTTCAAGCTCCGGACTCCCACATTCATAAACCGTAAGAGAAGTTCTAGACGAGAAAATCCTTAATGTTGTTTTACCGATTTTATATTAAAGAAATAGTAGCATGTTTTGATCTCCAAAAATTTAGAAGAAATACTTGTTAGCTTAATATGGTAATTTATACAAACTTCTCAACGGAGGATTATACATGTGTGTCCATGTCATAATGAATTTATCAAACGAATTCAATGCATTAATATGCCATGGACACGAATGTAATATTCTCTTTATCACATTACATTCAAAATTTGAAAAACCAAAGTACTCCGATCATAGTATTGTCGTCCCGCGCAGTGCAAAGTAGTTCCAGATTTTTTTAAATAATGAAGTTTTAAATGCAATAAAAATAATAAAGACAAACATACATTTCGAATTCATTCAAAATATTATTTAGATATATCTTGTGGTATATTATATAAAAGCAGTACCTGTAGAAGCGTAGGAATATATTCCCACTGTTTTGACCAATCGCAGCAGCCTTAGGCTTATTTTTACACGTGTGTGGTACCATAATTTTATGACATGGCCGTATATCACATAGTAAAATGGGTCAGTTATGTGATAAAAATTAATGTGGTTTTTTTTGCATGAAATATTTTCGAAAATATTTCTAAATTTCCGTGACATTTGACTTTATTTTCTTTGACCCTTATCCATGCTATCAGTTAAAATCATGTATTTCACTTAAAGTAGTTTGTAAAGTTAATTTCATATCAGATAGTTTTACACTAATCACAGCATCTACCAAAAGTATACATTTCTTCAAAATTGACGTGTTCAATGATAAGTCTAATCGACCTAGATTAGTTCTGTGTTAAATTTCCAATCGGCCGTTAATTGGACTATTTGTTCAGGATTTTATTTCAGTTTAAGATAATTCAATCATTTCCCGTGTTGGCTTAGTAACACAAGCCCTGCATATGCAGCTGTGAGACCCCTTCCCCGTCCTGTATGCCTCTGGATAAAAAGCCCGCCTACGATGATCAGCCTAGGTCTGCAATGATACATTTGTATGTATACCTCACGATACGATATGTATCGCGGTACGATGCTTACGATACGATCAGTATCACGGTGCAAATGCTACTGCTTAAATGGTCAACTCAAAAATGAATTTTATCGAGTTTTGTCATAGACTTCAATAGTAAATACTATCGAACCATTTTAGTTGATTTTTAACCATGTTCTATGTCTTTCTAAAAAGACAAATAATTGCATATGATGTGTCATATAAGGGTTTGTATACAAGAAAGCTGTTTGCATAAACCCCGTCCGTCTTACGAATCTGAACCACCATCATCGCGATCGTAACTCCCCGGAATCCGGCATTCGGCATCCGGCATACAGCACCCGGCATCTTTTTTTTTGCTTATATACCCCGTGTGTCAGTATCATAGATACTCCGTTTCAAACTTTCAGCTTATTTTGTATAGGTACTCATTAATTACAATATGTGCCTGAAGTTGTATTTAAAGGTATGCGTTTAAAGAAGAAAATACTGTGTAAACTAAATAAAGTTTTCTACTATAGCATTGTGGTAAAGGAAAAGTTGTGAATGTCTCTGTTATTATAACGAAACCTTTCTAAACCGGATTTCACAGGTATCAATATCTTCATTCCGATAAGACAGGTTGTTTGATGACACGGTATAATTTACTTAGATATAGCTTTGTAAATCTTGTCGCACGGGCTTTAGACAGAACCCAGTAGATTTGGATAAACCGATGATTTTTAATTAATTCATTTTTAATTTGTCCTCTTAAACAATCTTGTGCTAAAATGGTGTCTACAGATAGGTGTCGTTAGTGTCCATACCGTGTTTATCAGACCGCTGAAGTATTGCCAGGTCAAAATTAATTGTTAATGTTAATGATCCTGGTAACACCAGCATATACAAAATTTGAACTGAATCTCTCGCTGTTAATCTTTTGAAATTTAAGAGTAATACTCGGGATACAAATAATATCAGCCCACCAGCTTTTTGGCAATTGGCCTCTCGTTTTAGCTGGTATCGAAATATTAGACATATGCTTCAGTTTGCAAGAAAAAAAGCCGTTTATGAAAGGAAATACTGCATCTAGGTTCTAGCTCTCCCTAATCTCAACCTCAACACACACCTTCATTTGACGTCTGTATATTTGGGTACTTTTATCTTCACTCAGCACGAGCCTTAAACATTTTTGAGTTCACGCGACCCTGCAGGAGATAGAATAATTGCACGCGCGGAACATGTGCGTAATGTTTGCCGTTTTCACGCTCTCTCTATCTATTTCAAGAATAAACTCCCACTATCTGCAAACTCCATTGGAACTCTCCACAGCCTGGAGGAAGAATGAGATTAAAACAAAAATATAATATTGCCAATCAACTATACGAAGTTGACCTACATTATCCTCATTTAATGCACGTGCTGAGGACTTTTATATATACAACTAATGACTTACGCCCTAATGGCTGAGTAGTGATTATCTGAGAATACAGGTACCTTCCCTCCCCCGTTAATTAATGGAACAGCCAGCGCGAGAGCCAGTATCATTAGCTAGGCACCTCCCGTGGGCAATAACTATCTTTCTCATTGCGTCTGTTGGTAGTTCTATAGAACAGTGTGAAAAGTGAAGAATTCCCAGGAACAAAAATGCCGCCAAAGGTAGGTTTACTTTTTATTATAAGAAAAAGTCATTCAATCTCAACATTTCCGACGCCTTGAACTTTAAAAAAAAAACCATTAATTTATTTAGGTGTGAGGTCGATTTCTGAACTTTTGGGTGTGGCTAAGAGAGAGAGGCAATTTTAGTCTTAAAGAGTTCGGATTTATATTTCATTTACATTTTTTTTTTTTAATAAAACGATTTTTATGTTATATTTATATATTTATTTTGATTTTTTCATTTAAAATTTTCATAAACTTTTGCAATTAAAAATATTAAAATCATTTTGAAATTAAGCATAAATCCGGCTTTCAAGAGGGACGATTTTTCGGTTTTACTATTTACTATTAGAATCATAACAGGAGGTCTGACCTTGCTCCGGAGGGTCGTAGTATCAGTGCTCAGAAACGACACACTGAAGGGTGTGTTTACGGCGGATTAATTGATGGGTGGGCGGTGAGACGGTCGGCCACTCGAGGTTGAGCGCCAGGTTAAGCCTTCGCTGTGTTTTGGTTAAAGGTGTTTTCTGTCGATACAAATGTGGTTTATGAATTACATCTGCGCAAACAGACAGACCGAACGTGAATTAATCTACTTTTAAGGCCGATGGAACCGTGAAACATTTTTTATAAACATCAAATTAAATATGCTGATGTATTGTTACTTAAACATGTATTTGCAAGCGTTTTTATGAACACTAAAAATGGTAAGACGTACATTTTTACGTAAATCATCCTAGATACTGTGGAAAAAGAGTATTTTTGAGGAATTTGAAAACACTTTTGTTAAATGCATTTTCATTTGTGAATTTATATACATTGTATTTATAGATATTTTGAAGAAATGTGCAAATTTGACATAATTGGCTTCAAAAAGACAAACTCGCGGATTGTTACCCCCCCCCCCTCCCCCCGTAAATGAATTAATGTATATAAGTAATACAGTGACGTCTCATAGCGACGTTTTATGACGTCACACATACACAGATTCTTTGAACCTGATTGTGAAGGTCTATTTCTTACCGTTGACGTCATTCTTATCGAACAACGTCATTGAGACGAATTACATTTGTACCTCTATGTCGTTATCAATACAGAATCCGTTGAGTGCTGTGCCAAATTGTATACACATCTGGCATAGAAGGAAAAGGCGAGGGTGAGGAACTTAATGCATTTATCTTGCTTATAGTAGTATACAAGTAAACATCCAATCAGAATACACTGTTAGGACCAATCCAGTGTTGGATGTTGTTATTCCGTGCCAGAAAACTACTACAATTAAACCAACGTCATTGGACTTTGAAGCTTGAGGTAGATTGCCGGGTTGGCATTCCACCTAAATGTTCAAAATCCAATGACTTTGATAGTGTTTTTCAATCTCGAATCAAATAACTAGTATATTGTTCATGTAACAGGAAAAAGAGGAGTATATTTTCACCGGGAATCGAACCAAAACCACTAGCTTCTCAGTCCACCGCTAAGCTATAGCTCTTTGACTAACGGTAGACAATTAATTTCCAGACTTTTTTTAACCACGAACGAGATCGCCAGTTTACGTCCTTATCCGGTGAGAACATTTTAATTTCCCGTTGCTAAGCAACACGTCAACAAGCAACATCACCAAAGCAATGATCTCCAGTCTATTTTTGCGAACGTTACTTTGCCAACCTGTGATATGCACACCATAATAAAGTGAAAATATCCCACTTAAAAGATTTAAATATCTCAATTTATAAAATCAACCAGCACATTTCTTTCGGCATATGACCTGTAATAGCTATGCAATGTATGATATTCAAAGCCCTCTTCGAAGAAAAGGAAAGATTGAACCCAAATATAATTGTCACTCAAGCAAACAGTCCACTTCCGGTTTGGTTGACGTCTTGTCAAAGTTCATGAGAATCACGTGCACGTTGGAATGTATAGGTTGTAAAGACACTCCTATTTGATGTAAATGCGATTGCCTCAAAGATTCGAACGAGGGGCAAGGATTACAACAGCTGTAGGATATAGGTTGGAATCCACTCAGGGTTGAGACATTTCCACAAAACGTCACTGCGAGGACGTCTGTCAGCGTATTATCACGTGCATCTACAAGAATACCATCGGATCTGTCAAGAGTAAT